AGCATTTTAGATATATACATTTAGCAGTGACTAGTTCCATCCAAAAATGTTGAAGATATAAATTCAAATGATTGTCGGATATATAGACATAATCCCATCCCAGCATTTAGATTCCCTTTACTAAATAAACTAAAATTCCCTCCCCCTTTAACATCACTCTGTTCATTACATTGCAATAAAAATCCTAAACTCTTCATTCTTATTTGACCTGGATCTTTTGATCCTACTCATTTGACATTTTACATTTTCAAAAGATAAATAGAAACAAATAGGTGATGCTTTTGGAAACCCCTGAGAATGGTGTTCAAATTACTTAAGGCTTTTTGAGCCTGCATTTTAAAGGTATTCTAAAGCAATGCAAAGATGACACACAAATTTCACTTTTTTAGAAATTGTCACAGAGATTAATTATAATATCCAAAACACTTGATTTTTGTATCCAGTGAACGTTTTGGCAGTTGCATTTCTCTCATTTTAAAGAGGTATCTTCTGTCTCTTTTTCCTAAGAGAAACTGAGTCCAAGAAAATTTGCTAAACTGCCTTTTTTCATTGTTTTCTTGCTTACTGTAGCAAGACTCTTGCATATGTCATTCTGCTCCTATAAAGTGCATGGTGATATTTCCTTTGTGGCAGATGGATTTAAAATCTTGACTTCTCAATAAATGTAGGTTTACAATACATAACTTTACAGGATTTGTGTTGTATATAACAGGTTTGAACATACTATCTTAGAATTCATCTGCATGGCATTTTCAGCTTATCCCAGGGCCCACGCCAGTATTTTTAAGTAATAGGGAGAGAGTATAGTGATTGATAGCAGCTAAAGGCGTGATTTTGAATAGAAACAAAGGGTTTCGAACAGAAGGTGTAAAATTAAACTTTATCAGTTTGAAAAGTAGTAACATCCTGAAAGTTCATCTGCATATTTACATGAGACTAATGTTTAAATTAGCCATTGTCTTCTTTATATGCAGCGCAATGGTGCCTGGTAAAGTTGCTGTGCAAACATATAGTTTATTCCTACTGTCATTTGTACTTTTCTCCAAGTATGTAATGGGACTAAAAGTGGACTTTCACACATGGTATTGCAAGATGTAGAACATGTGTGATTCCTGTTAATGAAGCACTCTGCTCTTTACAAATTATTATTTCTTTAACGTAAGAAGAGATATGTTTCAATTTCTGTACTTGGTTAAGCTAGTCATATGTTAATTAGCAATATACTTTCCTTTGCATAACTCAACAGTTTTCAGCACTGATTTTATTGAAATGAAATACAATAATAAAATGAAGCATACCAACTTTTTCTAGTGTTAAAAATTCTAGCTTATATTTTCTTTTTTCTTTTTTGCCGCATATGACATTCAAACCAGTTGGTATTTTTTTACTAAATACACAAAGGTTGGCTTGGGAATTCTATAGAAAATTATATCAGTTTCCCTTTTATAATATTTTGCATTTGGAGTGAAGGTGAGGTGTGCAGAAACATGTAAATTAGCATACTGGTTTTGTCCTGTCAATTACTTTAGTTGTTTGTAATCAAATGATGAGTTTTTATTTTAAAATTAAACTATGCCATATTACAGTATAAGTATATAGTCAATATGAATAAAATTTCAGATAATATAAATATTTCTTTAAAGTATAAGCAAATGAAGGAAATGCTTAAAATAAAACAAGAAGTTAATTTTAGAGGTAGGGTTTAAAAAACAAACAAACAAATAGAAAACCATCTGATTACAATTTAAAAAAAAATATTGGAGCACTCTTGAAAGGCCAACCAAGTAGTATTTAGTCTTGTAATTCATCATGACGGGGTGGTGGTGGTGAGGAATTAAAAGTATTATTTTAGGGGCAAGGTTAATAGCAAACTACTGGAAATGTTTTATTAGTCATGGCTAATTAATAAGGATATGTCTGCACTGAGAACACAGAAGTGACAAGAGCAAAATACTTGCTAAATGAGTTGTGGCTTCTTTTTTTTCCGGAATTACTTGTTAAACTACTTGCAGGCTGTGGAAGGTGCATGGATACCTTCCCATACATATCCTAGTCAGCCCTCACCCCATGAGTCATGTAAGTTATTAATGTTCTGGCATCCAAGTAACATGCATGGTTCAGAGAGAGGAATTAGATGCAGATACAAGATATTTGTATGGAATAGCTCTTTTAATTCTAACGAAGAATGCTGACTTTATGGTAAATAGGACTGAATATTTGATGCCAGAAAAGGAGTAAAAACTAGTTACACTACCTGTCTTCTGCATTCACTGAAATGAAACAATGTTTTAAAATATCTCGGCAAACTGTATTAATACTCCCACATGCATATTAATTTCTCAGCATCGGTTATTTCACAGGGCTAAGCAGTAATGTCATCCTATGCCTGGCAGGGATTCTCCTCTCCGATCAGCAACACCCTGCCTTTGCAGACAGCATGCCAACTAAAAGGGTTGTAGCCTAATTTTTATCTATCTGTGTACAGACTAAATTATGGCATAAAAAACAAGTAAACTTCAGAAACAAAGACTTTTGTAGGTGAACTGGAGTCTGGACCTTTGTCTGAACTAATTTATTTCTTGCCGCCGTCCCCCAATCTAAGCAACTCATGTTTTAGACATCAAATGGTGGCAACTAAAGGACCTGTCAAATGGCCAATTATGACACTCTTCTTTGGTCGTCTTTCCAGTCAAATATTTTTAAGGAATTTAGATAGCAGAATGTGTGACTGTGCATCGATGGCAAAAAAGGATTGGACTTGTTTCAGTCCTATTAGTTTCAGTGGGAGTTTATGCATGCTTAATGTTAATTAAATTGTGGAATACATTCTAGTCTTTCCATAGAAATAATAAAATGATTTAATCAGAATGTTTGTCTAAAGCAATATTGTTATGATTTGCTTGATGTCAAATAAAAAATATTTCAGAATAGATAACTATAGTGTCTTCTACACATTTTGATAACCTGTCAGGTTAAAAAAATAAAATTCAGTTGCTAGAAAGGTAGTGAGAGCTAGATGATTTACCAATATCATGATTTCCACTGGTAATAATAATAATAATAATAATAATAATAATAATAATAATACTTTATTTATACCCCGCCACCATCTCACCAAGGAACTTGGAGCGGTTTACATGAGGCCAAGCCCAACAACACATCAATAAAAACAACAAGGAATAAGCAAAATAAACAATGCAATTAATATAACTCACACATAGACAATAACACACAAGGATTTAAAAACCTATGGCCTGGTCAGATGTAATAGTTAAAACTTTAAAACTTATCTATACAGTTACAGCTCAGTTTAAAGTGCAGTTGTCAACTGTTTGAGGACAGATTCCTTTTTGTGCCACATACATCCACAATAAATACCCTATGGACCCTAATATTAATTTAAGAGGCTCTTGTCTGAGTTTTCATTCAGAAAGCTTGCTTATTTATTTATATGAAGATTTATATGACACCCATCCAGTGCCAGAGACAGCCTTTTTGGTGATGGCTCCTCACTTACTGGACCCCACCTTTTTATTTAAACATATTCTCTAAATCTTTTTTTTTAATTTAAAATATTCTGTCAATTCTTTCACTGATGATATGATGCTTGGATGTCAATGTCTTATTTAGTAAACTGCAATATCTCAGTTGTGATTTAAAATAATAAAAACTTCCATCCACCCTTAATCCTTAAACAAATATTAAGGATCCTGGAGTTAAAATGCTGAAACTTAAAACTATATTAAGAATAAGTTCTTGTGGGTTTTTTCGGGCTATAGAGCCATGTTCTAGAGGCATTTCTCCTGACGTTTCGCCTGCATCTATGGCAAGCATCCTCAGAGGTAGTCACCTCACTACCTCTGAGGATGCTTGCCATAGATGCAGGCGAAACGTCAGGAGAAATGCCTCTAGAACATGGCTCTATAGCCCGAAAAAACCAACAAGAACCTAGTGATTCCAGCCATGAAAGCCTTCGACAATATATTAAGAATAGTTAATTTTTAACAATTGTTTCTTTCCATGCGTTTAAATTGAATTAAACTCAAAGCTGATTTCCTTAGTCCTGTTTCTTTAAAACCAATACTTTTTTAAAAAAGTCAAATAATGCCAAAGATATCATTTAAGATGGCTTGTAAACCGTTAAGGGGGGGAAAATCTGTGCATCTATTTTAGAAGCAAATTAGCATTTGCTACAGTTCTCCTGGGACAATCTTTTGGCATAATTTCAAGCCTGCTTTTCCATAGAACATGCCTGGGTTAGAGCAGGTGCTTTTATAGATAGTACGCTTGTGCTCCAAAGAATGTGGTCTTGTTCATATTGTACTTAAAACCAGAAGTTTGGACGTTCAAGTTTCAGAGGTCCTGAACTCGGGTAAAGGTTTATCAACAGAGTTTGGGTTTGCCTATAGAGCCACATGGTCACATACAAAGTAAAAGGAAACCCTGTTTAGTAATGTCTCTTCAGAAAGGCATTCTGAAATGTCTGTTATCATATGATTTACGTCAGCCAGCTTCATAGTCAAGATAGATACTGGAAATATTCTCTTATTCTAATTTAAAAAATTATACCAGGAATCCTTTTTTCAAATAATACGAAATAACACCAGATATATATGTATGAGTACGTTCTTTGTATGCACTGAGATGGATATAGGTTTACACAAAAAGAAATCAGCAGCACAGAAATAAGATTTTCATTTTTAAAAATTGAATGTTGTCTTGTATGCTTGAAATGTGTGATATGCTCCTGATTTTCTTGTTTTCTGGTTCTATCTATCTATATCTACATATATCCATATAAGTTATTGGCTCTAGGATGGTCTTACAAAAGTTGGCAGTGGTACTTTGATAGTTTAATAGAACAACAGGACTATATATATAGTTTGCTTTTATAAATAAGCTATGCCCATTTTTATCCTATTGGTTTCCAATGAAAGTTTTCCCCTCAGCATATTTTTATATTAAGGAGAATTTAATATTTTCCATTATATTGTCTTAAGGGATGGCTCTGTGAACTCTTGCGCTGGAAAGAAGATCCTTCCCCTGAGAACAGGACCCTGTGGGAGAATCTGTCGATGATCCGGAGATTCCTCAGTCTTCCTCAACCCGAACGAGATGCCATTTATGAACAAGAAAGCAATGCAGTTCATCACCATGGTGATAGGCCTTCCCACATTATCCACGTTCCCACAGAACAGATTCAGGTTGGTTTACCTTGACCTATGGGAAGAAAGCTTAACCTGCAGGGAGGGAGGGAATAATAATTGCTCCCAGTTATACCATACCAAGGAGAAGTACCTTGGTATTAATAAGAATATTGCATTATGCAATGTTAGCTGAACTTCTTATACAATGCAGGAGAACTTCTCTATCAGCACCTCTCCATACTCAGTCTCCAATATTTTTTAATTCAAAAGAAGAAATTGGGTGGATACAGTGCTTACTGAATGTAGATTGTCTTTTCAGCCCTTGGGCTGTTGATGATAGTTATGCTTTAAAAAGAACTGGTTTGCATGCATACTACTCACTTTTGGCTGCAATTTTTAAACATTCAGGATTTAGATATTTTAGGGGCATACATTTAAATTAAAACTCCAGCCGATGACCTGTGAAAATGGTTCGTTTAAGTGGAAAGAGACTGAACCCCCAATTCCTCATCTTCATAACTGCCACTTTAAAAGTTGGGATGACTCAATGTTTGTTTGTTTTTCCTTTAGAGCTCCTCTCCCACCAACCTTGGGAAAGGAGAGCATAGAGGCGCTTTCTTACCTGGCCTGCTGACTACTGGACCTTGGCTGGGTGCTGCTCCCCAGGTGAGCTGGCACAAGATTATTACATCAGTGAAGCTTGGAGGAGTTTCAGGAATTGCCTCCTTCCATATAAATACAGAGCAAGACCCATTGCCTCTCTAGGAATGGAGCACACTTAATTTTATTATATTGCATTATTATAACCTGCCTTAATAATGTATTCAAAAGGCAAAGTCCACATCTTAAAAATTGCAATCATAATGCTTGTGGATTTTTCACTATATCGTTGAAGATCTGGGTTCAGCCATCTTCTTTCTTCTACAAGGGTGGGCCTAAAGTCACAAAGCCATCTGAAAAAGTTTTTTTAAAAAAATATTTTACATATAATGTAATGTAGTATAGTATAAAGTGATTATAGTTTCAATATGTACTGTATAATCATGGGCCAAGTAAGAATGTCTTTCAGAGATATAGTCTTAGCAGTGGGTCTGTAAATGACGGTGAAGACATATTTTGGATCCACATGGTTTATCATATTGAGGACATAGATTTCCAGATGTGCCTTCCTCTTCACACATTTCATCATTTTGTCCTGTACTCACGCCTTTTCAAAATCCATAGCACTGTGGTAACAGCCAATCTATATGACGCTATGATATTGTAAATTAAAAACACAATATCGAAACCCATTTGTGACTTTTGGCCCACTTGTACAAGAACTGGCAGCCCTCCCTTCTTATTCATCATGTTATTATTTGAGAAATATCCACATAGACAAAAGCAATATGAGTTAGTCAGGGATCCACAGCCATGAAACTGTGTGTGAAAGATAAAAATAAATTGTGAAATAGGATATTAGCTGCTTGAGATTTGAAAGCCCAAGGGAATGCTTATGTAAACACAAACATTATAATATTGTGCCACTTTCTCAGGTCAGTTTGCTCTGACGCTACAAAGTGTTTTGGATACCTTGTTAGTAATGTTTGTATTTGCAACAGGACAACAGGAAGTGAGAGAAATCTGCTTCTAGGGAGGGAAATTCATTCCTGAAAGAGTTATCCTGGATAAGGGCATCTCCACTGAAGTTTTTTCACAAATCCTTGTTTCCACAACAAGCTCAATGTTTCAAAATCCAATTATCACAGGGATAGAAAGTGAGGTGAAATCTTCCGAACAGGAGCACAGAAAGCAAAACAAACACCACAGGGGTGTTAAGCCTTCCCTATGTTATCCAAAGGTGTGTGTGTGTATGAGAGAGACATGACTAGAATTATACTTCAACTTACATACAAATTCAACCTAATTAACAAATCTATAACTTGGGGACTGAATGAATCTCCTTGTGAGAGAAAAAGTGGGGTATAAATAATCATCAACGTAATCATCAGTATTAGTCATGGCATATTCCCAAATTTTGTGGCTGCACTCTCATTGTTTTTGTTGGTTTTTGAAGATCATTCACTTTTATACCACTACTACAGTGGTGTACAAATCTGTGAATTACCTTTTTTCTTTTTTACATATAATGGAATGGAATATATTGTAATTCCATTTCCTGTTTATACCATATATGATGCACTAGTATTCTAAATTAACAACATAACATAATAACCTTTGTGACTTTTGGCCCACCCTGTACAAAAACAGGCAGTCATCCCCTCTTATTCATAGTATTGTTATTTGAGAAATATCCACATGGACAAAATCAATATGAGAGTCAGGAGCCGAGAGCCCCCAAACTGTGTGTGAAAGATAAAAATAAATTGTGCAATAGTATTATCTGCTTGAGATTGTGAAAGTCGAGGAACTTCATATTTGATTTAGTCAGAGAAGATAGAGTAATGTGCTAGCTTGTGTGTATTTGAAAAGGGCACGTCTTAATGGATTCACTAAAGAGAATGCTTCTGCAGACACAGACATTATAATAGTGTGCCACTTACCTAATTCTAATATTGCACCACTTTCTCAGATCAGGTTGCTCTGACATTACAAAGTGTTTTGGATACCTCGTTAGTAATGCTTGTATCTGCAATTCTGAGCACTATTTAGTAAAATGAAGTCCCATCATCAAAAGCAGTTTCTCAAGTCACTCCTGACACGACAAAAAAAATTCAAAAGCTAATAAACTAATAGTCTATCTTCATATATTCGGTATCAACCATGACATATTCCCTGATTTTGTTTCTGTAAAAAAAAAAGCATTGTGTTTTCGGTTTTGTTATTTTTGTTTTGGTTGATTTTTGGAGACCATTCACTTTTACACCACTACTGCAGTGGTATACAAATCTGTGAATTACTTTGCTTCTTCCCTTTGTCTTTTTTATTACACCCTACTTCACGAACCCTATCAGAGTAACTTCTATCCACCCTAACCCACAATAAAAAAATCTAAATATATTACATTTCAATGTGAGTGTGCCTTGAACAGGGAAAACTAAAGCAAATAAAGAAATAGCTGATTAATTTATCTTTAATTTATATGTATTCTTGTAATAAGGGGGAGATAAAATATTCTTGATTTTTTATTTATTAGCCCTATTGTCCCCATTCCATTGTCTCCATTTTCGCTTTCATGGAATATGGTATTTTTGAGATTATCAGTAGTAATCATGACACCCACATACTATTCAATACAAGTTCACCAGTATATTATTGCTGAGACCTGACATTCTGAAGAATATAGATCACTTTCCCCAAATGGTCCCAGATAAAAGAATGTTTACAACATCAGAGAGGAAAGACATTCATTATTAGCAATTTTGGAATATTTCGTTTTCTTCATCACGTGGTATTATAATTCTGTTTTGTTTTTGGTTTTTTAAATTTTGCCCTCAATATGTATGTAATATTCAAAACCTAGTTGGTAAATACAAGTAAGCCTTCAACAGAAATGTTGTAGTATGAAGAAGTCCTATTAATTATTCCTGCCATCACCCATACCTTCCTTGAGAATACTCCATTCCATTCCTCTCCCTCATTTTTGGTTTATGATAAATTTTCATTTGTATTTTTTAAAGGATTTATTTTGGTAGTTCTTCAATGCTCATATTTTTTCCAAGCATAATTGTCCATGAGTAGTACTGCTTTGGTTACCTGAGTTGAAGACATTCAGTGTATCAAATTCAAGATTTCTATGTACACTGATTACATGAAGCCTACAGATGGAGAAGTTTGGAAAAATAAATGCCCATTGATTATTTTACTGCCACCTCCTCCTCTGTTATTTTGTGTTTCAGGCTATTTTTCAGAGTAATGTTGGTTATACTCCATTTCTTCTACAGAAATATTAATAAGCATGCACATAGACTTTCAAAATTATGCTGTTTCAAATTATTTTATCTGAGCTATCTAGTAGTGGCCCACTAAGTGCATAATAAATAACATCAATTAATAAGAAATAATTATAGACTTGTTTTTTTCTTTCTATCTGATCTTACCATCTCCTGCAAGTTTTGTAATTCTCCCATCTTCCAGTGTTAATTCTTCCCAAGTTCATGTATTCAGTGGTAGTATAATAACATCATAGAGATACAGCATGATTTTTTCCCTCGTCACCATCGCTACACAGCTTCCCTTGTAACCCAAACATTTCTTACTTTAAAAAACAGGAAAGGTCTCAATACACTCAAGTATTCAAATGTGTTCAAAAGTATTCAAATGTTGGAATTGGAAAAAGCTTGTTTTCTTTTCACTTCTGTACTATTTCAGAATACACACATATATTGGATTAATTGTGACTCAGTCGGTTATTATTTGTAAAATGTATATACCCCACATTTCTTCTAATTTGAGATGGCATCAGTTGTAACACACACACTAATTTCAGTACCATCAACAGGAAAAATGTAGTTATATGTGTAAGTTGACACCCAGAATTCTAAGACATACCCCATTTTTAGAGATGTTTATAGTGGGGAGCGTGTTTCTTAAGAGTCAAAGAAATACAATATTGCCACATAAGGGAATGCTTAAAATGTGGCAAGTATCACAGGTACACTGGTCTTACATTAACCATGGTTAGAATTAAGGTGAGTAAAATGTAATGCTAATCATAGTCAACAATAAAGAAGAGGGAGTCTTTACACAAGAAGGAAGAAAGTGTGCACAATCTGTACTGAAACAGTATGAGTAAATGTAGTTCTTTCAACTATTAACGTAATACATTTGGTTTTATTGTTGGTTTTGGCCACAACAAAATGGTCCATGATGTCTTTCTTTTCTGCCAGCAGCAGCAGCAGCAGCAACAGCAGCAGCAGCAGCAACAGCAACAACAACAATCACAGCCGCCACCAGGTCCCAGGTTACCTCCAAGGCAGCCGACAGTAGCATCACCAGCTGAATCGGAGGATGAAAATCGTCAGAAGGCCCGTCCAAGAACAAAAATTTCAGTGGAAGCCCTGGGTATTCTCCAGAGCTTTATACAAGACGTAGGCTTATACCCCGATGAAGAAGCAATCCAGACTCTTTCAGCTCAACTTGACCTACCCAAGTACACCATTATCAAGTTCTTTCAGAACCAACGATACTATGTCAAGCATCATGGAAAGCTGAAAGATAACTCAGGCTTGGAAGTGGATGTCGCAGAATATAAGGAAGAAGAGTTGCTCAAAGATTTGGAAGAGAATATCCAAGACAAATGTACGAACACACTTTTTTCAGTTAAATTGGAAGAAGAATTATCAGTAGAAGGGAACACTGACATTAATACTGAATTGAAAGACTAATTGAAAAAGTATTTATTCAATGGTGTCACTGCTATTTACTAACAAAATGAAAATTCCATCCTGTGTTCTGTCAGCAACCTCTTTATTCATTGTTCGGCCAATGAATCTTCCAAAACTTGCACAAAAGTTGAGAAAATTAAAGGATAATACAGACTGCACTAGATAATTTACAAACTGCTTCAGAGCTACAGATGAAGCATTGAGGATTGTTTCATATTAATTTGTGTTCACTGGGTACACCGATAGGTATCCGATAAGCATGATTATCTGTGGGTTGTTTTTTTATTAATTATTATTATAGAGCTTTCAGACAAGCATTACTTCTGTGACTTATTGTTTGTTTCTGTTTCTTTTCCCAGTTATTACTGTTAACACTCCACACTTGATCTTTGAAAGCTCGCATTTATTTAAATAAGAGAAAAAAAGGAGAGTTTGTTACTCTTGCTCTATTGTATGTTACAAAAGAACTATAGACTGTGAGATGCAGTTTAAAGTTAACATATGCCAACAAATGCCTTGTATTATATGGCACTGCCGTAACTCAGATTTGTTTTCTTTTCAGAAATAAGAGGTCACTGTATCTTTTTCATTCTCATTGTTACATGAATTTTTTTAAAAAACAAAATGTGAAACACAGTTTATCCCCATTATTTATTTGTAGATCCCACGGCATCATGTTGTAATTAATTTTTAGAAGTTTCTGTTAAATGTAATATTGCTTCTCTTGTTATCATACTGATTTTTTTCTATTTATAAATGTATTTTGATGGGCAGTAAAACAAAGTGTCTTAAAAGTTTTAAATAGAGAAAATGTGCTTTACACAGTTGCCTATAAAAAGTGCTCTATGTTATCCAAGCAATTCATACTATAAGCTTCACTCTTATTGTTGTATGCAATTTTTACTATCATGCAAATAAGCTTAGGTAAATAAAACTAATAGATCACCTTAGAAACTTATGCAATTAATGTGAAAATAATTGATGTTTGCAATGTGTCTTCCTTTGGTTTACAATCAATTTTAAAGCTACAGCTGTATAAATTTTTCTGTATAAAGGTGTATTTCTTTTTTATGAGTTTATTGCTATGAAAACACCAGTTATTTTGTTACAGCTGGCTGTTTTTATAAGTGTATCACAATTTTCTTTATGCAGAAATGTTCTGACTAGGAGTGGTTATTGACTGTAACTACACAATTAAAATTGTTTGTATGGTATGATGTGACAGGATTTGTCTGCTTTTATGTGTGTTATGTAGAAGTCACACACCCCAAATGTATATTGCCCCTTTTATCTACTTCCTTAAGAAAGAGGTTTTCCCTAGTAGTGCACATCCTTCCTTTTTTGAAAAGGACTCAAACTATGTATCTGACTACCAGATAAGTCTGAAGAAAACCCAGCTTTACTGTGAAAATCATAACCTGTCTCGTCTTGGTTTTAGAAGTTGCCTGCCCAACAGAGATAGCAGGATATTATTGAGTCAAAAGGCTATCAGGCAAAAACATACTTACAGTTCCTGGCAGTAATGCACTTATAATGGATGCAGCTGGTTTTGTTTTACAGTATTTGAATTTATGATAACACCATTCCTTATACTAATGCGTGTGTGTGTGTATATATATATATATATATATATATATATATATATATATTCACAAAGTAAATAGAAAATACAAAATTCCTTTTGGAGGATTATTTTAATGAACATTAATAAGGCTGTTGATAAAGAAGTCATAATTATAGGGTTTTGATTTCACACAGACTACATGTCAAGGCTTGTACAAACTGAAGCAGATGAAGCAGAAGAAGATAATCGGTGTGTTGTCTAAAATACAATTTATTAACAACCTTGTTAATTCCGTTTAAATGTTGATATGAAAAGGAATTAACTTATTAATGCTATTGCTAAAATTATTCCTTGAAAAGGTGTGTTTTTGAAATATATTTTCAAAGCAATTTAAACAAGACTGCTAAAATTCTCATTTTAAGATGGTTTTTGTCTTGTGAGTAATTTGTCTTGCAGACTCATACATTGAACTAAACCTTCAGTTAGCATTAAAAGAAGCCACAGAAAGCTTTGTATTCTTTTTCTCAAATACAGCTGTGGGAAGACTAAAGTTTGAATCCTAAAACATGATTACTTAACTGTGGTTTGTTCAAAGATCAAGAGATCCATGGTTTGAAGCTACAGTACTTTCAACCCACTATAGCTAAGTTTACATTTGAATTATTGAAGAAGCATTCTTCAAAGACCAAAACATATCTTTAGACATCTTGTACCATAAGAGGAGATAATGAAGCCAAAGGCAGCTTTATATAACCATAAATGGTTTAGGATTACGAGTGAACCACCTCCTACTCTAAATTCATACCTCTGCTCTATAGTTAGCATTACCATTTTACTTTTGAATAAAACCTGGATGACAGTTCAAGTTGTGCAGATTTATTTCAAGAAGAAATTTTGCTTTCCAATAGCTGTCCTATCTGAATGAAAACTGATGCGGTTTGATAAACCTGAAGTTTGGGATTTGCGGAAACTGAGATTACTTAATAGGAGAAAATGTGTAAAGCTGGTGTTTATGCTGAAAATCTGGTTAGTGTATATGTGACTGCTGCTGCAATATGAAGTATACTTAGTAAGCATCAAACTTCCATCTGAAGAACTGAGACATAGATTACTGTCTCGGTAGTTCTCAATATGTGGGTCCCCAGGTGTCTTTTCCTACAACTCCCAGAAATCCCAGCCAGTTCACCAGCTGTTAGGATTTCTGAAAGTTGATGGCCAAAACATCTGGGGACCCACAGGTTGAAAACCACTCACTATCTGGAGAAGCGGTGATCCAGATTCAAGCTATTCATCCATCTAATTTACTCAAATACAGAGCGGATAATTTCCACTATCAGTCTGAGAAGGAGGAGATTGGAAGAACGTAAAAGGTTGATTTTATATCAAGTTAAAAACATGTCATAGGTGGTGCGATGGTTGGGGTTTAGAGGACCCAGAACAGCTGTACTGTCTAAAAAGTTTCTCCTGCTACCAAATTCCTCACAATTACTCCAAATGAACTTTCCGTTATGTTTTTGGCCCTCTCTGCGATACTTTAAATCTCAAATAACATACTTTCCAAGTCATTTCCTATTTACAAGGCCTTTTCTCTGCCTAAGAAAGTCTATGGTGCCAGGCAAAAAATATATAGTGAACTTTTTTCTCACAACCCTTTGGTGGCATTTTGGTCTATTTTTTAAAAAGTAACTAGAGAACTATGAACAAGTGCAAAATTATAGACTTAGCTGGGGAAAAACTGTTCTTGGAAATCCTTTCTTTGGGCTTCATTTATCTTTTTGAAAAGCTAGCACTCTAAAGCTGAAGGAAATTGCAGAGCAAAATGGAAGAGGAAAAAGATATCATGGAAGGTGTTTTTCACCTTGCAAGTATGGTTTCATTTACAAACAAATTTGTATCACGAGGATGCTAATGTACTTCTGTTAATCATTACATACCATCATTCTTTCTAATACTAGACTTATCTAGCTGAGTTTTTTTTCCAAAGTAAAACAGATGTACTTAATGAAACTGTCTACACACTTGCAGGTCTACCTAGGCATACAGAGGCACAGACATTTATAAATGTAAAAGGCAGAAGACAAAGACGAATGAAGTCTTGAGCATGACCAGTATTTTCAACCTGCAACACGATGTGGAAAATTGGTTGGGAAAGCAAAATGGAAGGAGAACTGCATGGGTCTCCTCAAAGCCATGATATTATTTACTATGCTGGCTAGGCCTTTGGTGATTTAGTCCTACATCTGGAAACAGCTGTATTATAAAAATCAATTTACTCCAATCAAATGAGTTCAGTATCAATGACTTATGCTATCTTGACCAACTGGAACAATGAAAAAGACTTCAAGAGCAAAGGCATTCCTCATTGTTGAAGGTGACATATTGTTAGAATCACAGACACCTTAAAGGGACTCAAAATTGATTTCAATACAGAGTTTATTAAAACAAAGGCAAAAGGATGCAGAGGCACTTAATGCAGTGCCACTGGTCAAAAACTCAAGAAACAACCAGTCCTGGTTCAAAAAGGTTTACAGAAATATAATCCGGATTAGTTGGATAAAAGAAATGAATCAACAAAGTGTTCTGAGGTCAAACAAAAAGGCACAGTACACAACTGGTTAACAAAAGGAGGAGTCACAAGAAGCAAAGCGTCGTCAGCCGAAGTCCAGGGTAGAAGCAGAAAAAACCAAAACAGCGCAGGTCCAGAGTCCATAGAAGCAGTGTCTTTAGCCAAGCCAATCCAGGTCCAGGAAGGGAGAAGTCCACACTCACGAGAAGCCAATCCGGGTCAATAACAAGCAAACGATCAAGAGATTCAAACTGCAGATCCGAAACCACCACCAAACACGAAACGGGCAGCAGTAAGTCACACAGCACCCAAAACACGAACATACTCCAACACCTTGCCTTCTGCAAGGACCCCTCATTCGTGAACCCACTTTTATTTACAACTCATAATCAGAAGATGAACTGACCACCGCCCCATCATTATGCCCTGCAGCTGCTTCCAGCTCTTCATGTGATCCACCTTGTCTTCCCCTCCAAGTCCTCCATCTCCTGTCAAGACTTAGATCCCCCCACGAGTCAGTTGGATCCCCTGATTGCCAGTCTTCACACCCAGAGAACCCCATAAAGGTATCACTAGTTGTTGGCTTCTCACAAATAACTTGCACTTCTCTTATCTTAGTCCAATCCATGCTGTCTCCTTCTTCTCCTTCACTCATTGACCCATCATCCCCAGAGAATCCTTCAAATGAGTCCTCATCTGTAGGCACTGTAAATATGTCCCGGATCCTCTTTCTCTGCTGCTCATCATCAGATTCCTGTTCCCGAGTAACCCTTTTCCCCTTCTGGCACCCACACTACTGTTTGTAACGTTACTCACAGGCTCTACTACAAGACATATCTTCTGCAACTAAAATTGATACATTAAAAGTAGAAAAAAGCCACCGATAACATGACATTAAGCTTATACAATATTTTTACTAGGGCTGGGCGGTTTCGTTTCGTTAATTCGTAATTCGTTAAAATTCGTTATTTTTTTATATAACGAAGCGATAACGAACCATTCTGGAGCAACTTAAAAACGAAAGAAATTTTTAAATTCGTTTCGTAAATGCTTCGGATTCGTTATGTATTCGTTTCGTTATCGGTTGGAGGTCGTTTTGTTATTATTTCCGCATGTCTGGGGCAAGTTTTATAGTTGTTTTTTGTTTAATTAGTGAAAAAAAATTATAATATCACACCAACAGTCAACAACAGAGGGAGAGGGAAGCTTCAGAAGTTCCCCCTGTCCCATTTGGCGGTTTTTTAGCGTATTGCGCGGTCGCGTCCGCCATTAACGAATCAATTCGTAATTGTTTCGTATTTGTTTCGTTAATGTTTCGTAATTTTTTTAACATTTACGAAATTTTGTAAATATCGAACTTTTTAAAAGAAAAATTTCGGAATTCTTTTAAATATCGAAACGCAAAAACCCCCAAAAAATGAATCGATTTTAGAAACAAATTTTTCCGTTGTTACCCAGGCCTAATTTTTACATATGTAGCTAGATACTACAACAGCAATATTGATGTGATCCCAAATTTCTCAAAAAAAAACCCCAAAACACTAAATGACATCTTTATTGCTGCACAACAATTTAGTTACTCTTTCATTGCCCTCAGTGGGATCTGATTGTTACATCGCATAAAGTAGATTTAGGACTTCATTCCACTTGGGTGGGAAAGTGGGGTAATTGATTTAGCGTTTCCTTCTGTGGCTTTCTGTAAAATGGATAATTTGCTCACCTGTCATGATATGCCTCATTCATGTTCAAACACAGCCAGTATCCAAGTCCAGAGCCAGTAAGTCAGTGTGCATGTTCCCTGTGCCAGTAAGTCAGTGTCCATGTTCTGAGGTCAAACAAGCCAGTTTCTGAGGTCAAACAAGCCAGTATCCAAGTCCAGAGCCAGTAAGTCAGTGTCCATGTTCCCAGTGCCAGTAAGTCAGTGTCCATGTTCTGAGGTCAAACAAGCCAGTAAGTAATGTATAACTAATTGTCAGGCAGAATCCAAAGTACTTAAGTTCTTTTCCAGTCTAGGGTTCACAAGGCCAGTCACACAATGAGTTCATGATAACACCATCTAGCAAGACATTACCACCAGTAATAAAACAGTGAA